CGGAGTCAGGTCGCGGGGCAGTAGCCTAAGGCGAGAGGCCCAGACTTCCCTCTCCCTAGCCACTTGGGCCAGCTCCTCCAGGGGAATCCCAAGGCGTTCCCTGGCCAGGTGAGAGACATAGTCCCTCCACCGTGTCCTGGGTCTACCTTTAGATCTCCTCCCGGTTGGACGTACCCGGAAAACCTCACCAGGGAGGCGTCCAGGAGGTATCCTGACCAGATGCCCGAGCCAACTCAACTGGCTCCTCTCAATGTGGAGGAGCAGCGGGTCTATTCCGAGCCCCTCCCGAATGACCAAGCTTCTCACCCTTTCTGTAAGGGAGAGCCCAGCCACTCTTCGGAGAAAACTCATTTTGGCCGCTTGTATCCGCGATCTCGTTCTTTCGGTCATTACCCAAAGCTCATGACCATAAGTGAGGGTAGGAACGTAGATCGACTGGTAAATCAAGAGCTTCACCTTCTGACTCAGCTCTCTCTTCACCATGACAGACTGGTACAACGCCCGCATCACTGCAGATGCAGCACCAATCCACCTATCGATCTCACGCTCCAGTTTTCCCTCACTCCTGAACAAGACCCCAAGATAATTAAACTCCTCCACTTGGGGCAGGACCTCATCCCTGACCCGGAGACGGCATTCTACCCTTTTCCGAATCAAGACCATGGTCTCATATTTAGAGGAGCTGATTCTCATCCCAGCTGCTTCACACTCAGCTTGTGAACCGTTCCAGCGAAAGCTGAAGATCACGTTCTGATGAAGCCAACAGGACCACATCATCTGCAAAAAGCAGAGACCTGATCCTCAGGCCACCAAAACAGATGCCCTCAACACCTTGGCTGCACCTAGAAATCCTGTCCATAAAGGTTATGAACAGAATCTGTGACAAAGGGCAGCCTTGGCGGAGTCCAACTCTCACTGGAAATGAGCCCGACTTACTGCCGGCAATGCGGACCAAGCTCTGACACCGGTCATACAGGGACCTAACAGCCCATATCAAAGGGCCTGGTACCCCATACTCCCGGAGTACCCCCCCACAGAGCCCCCCAAGGGACGCGGTGAAACGCCTTCTCCGAATCCACAAAACAGGTAGACTGGTTGGGCAAATTCCCACGCACCCTCCAGGACCCCCCTAAGGGTAAAGAGCTGGTCCAGTGTTCCACAGCCAGGACGAAAACCACATTGCTCCTCCTGAATCTGGGGTTCAACAATCCAATGGACCCTCCTCTCCAGAACTCCTGAATAGACCTTACCAGGAAGGCTCAGGATTTTTCAGATTTTTTATAATTTTATAATTAATAATTATTTATATAATATTAAGCACTGTTATCAACAACAAAACATTAGTGCACCTTGTCTTCTCTATTTTGTAAATATTTTGAGATTATTCATAATTGATCCTCATTTAATCTTTAATTTCGTCACACAGAGAATTTCTGTGTTAAATTTTTATGTTTTCAATAATTTTCTATAATCTTAAAGAACAAAGATTAGGAGGAGCTCCATTATACACTGGAATGCAGATTTACCACAGAAACTAATAATTCTTTACACAAAGTCAGATCTTTATAAAGTCAGTCCCCTTTGATCAGACTTCATAGAACCAGTCATTTTGAACTCTGAGGGTGAACGAGAGTTTTTTCATAGCAGAAATGTTTTGAGTCATACATTCTGCAGTAGTTGAAAGATTTGGTGTCAGCCATGTATGAGCTATGACTTTATGGCTTGTGACCTAGGCTAGGTCACCTAGCCTAGAAATCTAGACCAACCGTAGCAGTAACAAAAACATTTAGCTCTGCAGGTCCATCTAGCCACGTAGCCTCAGCAGGTCTACCATTTGGCCTGAACCATTTTAGGTTCGGCCAATCACAGCGCTCTGCGTTTTTGGCAAGACATTGGGTGGGCTTGAGCACCAGAGCTGTGAGGGTGAAAAACTACAAAGATGGTTTTGGCTCAGGAACAGAGCTCATTTGAAACAGGTTTGGCTTCAACTTTGGGCCGTTTAGACGTGCATTTCTTTGAGACATGAGCAGAGAGAGGTTCATTTAGAAACAGGATGTATTTGCTTCTTCTTCTTCTTCTTCTACAATGTACGGTGGACTGCGGTGTTGACTGATTTTCTGATTGGTCCCAGTGCTGTCCAACTGCGTGTTGCGACAGTCTGAAAGACAACCGTAGGCCCAATCCCAATACTCGCACTTGCACCCATCATTTGCGCGTTCCCGGCCAGGGGTGCGAGTGTGTAGGGTGTCCCGATTCTCAAGTGCGGAAGTTGACCACGCCCCCATCGCTCCCTTAATCTGCACTTCATCCCAAGTCCGCAGCGATGCAGACCTCGGGCAAGGGAATTACCCACAAGTCATTGCTGCAGGAGAAAAGGCTCAAGTTCCTTTTTTGAAAATATGTATTTTCTGATCAAATTAGTTAATTTTAGGATGATTAGTTGATTCTCTAAAACTTTTAGACAAAGCCGCAATAAATAAAAATTTATATCAAATAACTGATTGGCTTTTTGTTTAAAAGTTGTTAATAAAGACTTTTGAAAAAAGTATCACAGCGACCAGTATCCCGGCATGCGTGGCGATCGATGACGCAATGCCCCCTGTCTCAATTCTGCAATTATTTGCACACTTGTGTACTACGCACTCGAAGCCTACTGCGCACTTTCTCCAAGTGCACTTTGTTGAAGTCCGCAGGGCACAATGTGAGTATTGAGATTGCGCCGTAGAGTCCTCCCCATGACCGAGCTCTGTCTTTGGGTCGTGGCCAGACTGCATATTTACATATTTGTTTCACGTGTGTCTCCTTAATCACTTAATGACTCCAGAAACCACATTGGGAAGGGTTCCAGGTGGGTTCGATACCCACAACTACTCTGACTTTGATTAAATCCTGTCTTACAAAAATCTTTTAACTTGAATTTCAAACAATGTGAGCAAACGTAGCACGCAGGAATAATTATGTTTTCCTTCATGAAAGCTTTGTTTCTCAGTGAGATGCTAGGATAAGCATGTTACATGTTGTGCTGAAACCTTTGCTCTACATCAATGATCACAGTTTGAGTAACGTGTGAGATAAATGCACAACCCTGCGGGGTGAAGGAATAAACAAACAATCATCCTTGGATCGGAGCTGTGTTTTTACTTGAAACGCTCGTCCCTGAAGGGCACTGGCCATCAGGTTTAGAGGAGCACACGTCAGCTCCTCTCAGGCTGTGCTGGCTTACAGGAGCATGACGCAATAGGTCAGAGCTACTCCCTGACTGCTGTGTCCTCCTCATAATTGATGAGTAATTAGCACAGGTAGTGTAGGTCATGAGTTCCAGTCAAGCCTACTGTGAATAGATGAAAGCATGAGTCACGGTCTGTGATGCGTTGCTTTCCAGAGGGCACGCGCTTTTATGAGGACATTTCATTCGCAGTGGTGCAGCTTATTAACTGTAAACAAATGTGATTATTGTCATTTACAGTAAACTGAGTAAACAGAAAGCAGCAACACACTCAACTCGTCGACTGAACGGGAACATCTAAAGGGCAGCACGTTGAAAACTGCATGCTACTTCTTTTAATTTCCCCACATCCAGCAGCATCCTTTAATAAGCACACTCCATTTGCATGCAAATCAGACCAATTACCAGCAAGTAGCTGGCATCCGAGTATCGTTTCACATAGAGCCATATCATGGCTCATTTGCTTAGCCTTGAAACATAAGCTTCTATGTACAACAGAGTGCACTGTTATTCCCCGTGTTCACTCAATGTGGATTTAGCACTTGACTAAGAAAACTATTATTGCTGGTAAATGTTTAAAACAGAAATTGGATAATTATCCAGCTTCAGCTTCCCTTAAACTCAAAGAGGAAACTTTTTTATTCGATAAAGCAGCACATGCACACAACCGTCACCGACAATGTGCACGACTTAAGTGCAGCTTGTGGGCAGAAAAGGACCAAAGGGAGCAAACACCAGAGCACTGCAACAAGTGATGAGAGCATGAGTGTAGAAAGAACAGAGATCTGATGCAAAACAGGAACCACATTGATCAAAACTAATAAATGGACACTAATTGTGACACTAATTCAAGCAATTACCAAGCTGCTGGTTCCCCAAACTCCTCTTAACCCACTTTGAAGACTCTTAGTGCTAAGCTATAGCAATGGGAGCCAATGGAAACTTGTAAAAAGACAAGAACCGGTTCTCAGCCTCCAGTGAGGGTGGATAACAGCACATCTGAATTCCACAAATTTTGGTGACTAAGCACAACGTGGGAATCAATCGTGACTGGATATCACCATCCCTAACTGTAGCATGATTCATGAGCTTTCAGATTAAAGCGTTACCTGGAGCGTGAAGGCTTTGTTTGTTAAAAGCTGTGATTTATAGCTACAAAAGCAGAACTGTCATTTGCAGAAGAATCAGCAGGAAAACAAAGAAATCTAACTTGCTTACCTTGTCACTCTGTCTAACATCCCAAAGAGAGCAAATGTTTGATTTGTCCTTTGCAACATAATGAGACAAAGAAGATAAATAAAGATGGATGTCACAAGGGGAACCTCCTTTCTGCCTGAAATCATCCTCTGACATCCAACATCCCACCGAGCAATGACAGGAACAGACTTATCAGCACATGGTGTATCAGCCTGGAACAGATGAACCCTGCAGAAGGCAGTTTATCAAAAAGGGCACGATGTCAAGAAGACACTGATCGCTCATGGTGAAGACAAATATGAAACAACACTTCAGCCACAAGTGTGAGAAGCATGTCAGTCATCAAACTTGAAGGATAACAAAAGCAGCAGCTCCCAGAATGACAGGACAGTGAAATCATGGAAACCCAGCAGATCAATGGCAACCAAACCAGTAGGAGATGGGGGGTGAAGTTAGACACACCCCTGGACCACCAGATGATTGAAGGAGTCATCTGATGAGTACACTGGTGACGTATTGGACCAGACTCTGCTGCTGGCCTCCAATGGAGGCAGGTAACGATCCAGTTCGGTCTTACCTCCAGACGGTCCAGACTGGTGAAACTGGTGATAGCAAATCCATCAATGATGTCCTCCTCCTGCGAACTGGACTGCCGTCTCTTCCTGCGAGGGGGGCGAGGCGCTCTGGCGGTTGCTGCCGGGCGCGGAGCCTTTTTGCCGGCCAGGGAGGCGGCGTCTCTCCCGGGACTGTGTCCCTCCCTGTCGGAGCAGGAGGAGTTGGGGTCCGGGCTGCGGGCTTCTCTGCTCCCCGGCTCCCGCAACCTCCGCACTCTCTCCCGCTTGGTCCGGCATCTCCGACCCGGTTTCAGTTTTCCATCCATGTTATTGGCAAGAGCCTGCATGCAGTGTCAGTTTAGGGAAAACCAGGAAAAAAGCAAAACGTAACTCCACAGGACGTGCACGCCCACACGCTCGCTGCGCCGCGTAATGACAAATAACACACACTGGACTGAAGATTGGAGACTGCGCGCGCGCGTTTGTGTGTATGTGTGTTTGTGTGCGTGTGTGTGTGTGTACGTGTGTAAATAAGAAAGCGATGCAGCCTTTAAACACTCCGTGACCTTGAGTTTAAATCTACAGAATCTCCAGAACGATCAGCAAATGTTGAAGTATCCCAGAGAAGCGGCGCGCAGCGGCACGGAGCGGCGCGGATCCGCACGGTATTGTCACGAATCCGCACCGTGTCGACGCGGTGTCCGTTAAAGCAGGTGCAAAAAGACCAAACAGTTAAAAATCCACGCATCCCACTCGCCTCGGAACTTTTGTTTTATAACCAGCGACGTAAGAAAAACCAAGCTCGCAGCGTTGTAGCGCAAACAGCGCAGAAAAATCATGTCGCTGGCCGCGCTTCTTCCCTTCCACCACCCCAATCCATGATCCAATAAGGCTGTCAGATAAAAGCTCGGGGTACTACCCGTCCGGAACCAAACGGACAAGAAGGGTTCGTGTTGTCGGGTGAAAGAATAATCCCGCAGGCAACGCGTTGAGTTTCAAAATATCCCTCTGCTCGCTTCGGGAGGAGAGAAGATCCCAAGTCCGAGAGCTACTTCTGCGCAATTTTCCCTAAATGACCCGAACCGTCCGAATAAGCCAAGCATCCAGCGTGAAATCCAACTCCACAAGGCGATGAAGCGCTGTCTTCCAGCTCAGATCATACAGTTTCCTATAAATCCACTCAGTCCGTCCCCTGGCTGCTCAGCGGCTCGTGGTATTTTCAATTCGCATAATAAGGCTTTGATAAGTGTCCTTAAAGCGACAGGAGTGATTAAAATCTTCTCTCCTCGTTCTCATTCCCTTCACCCGAAATTAAGAGACGCACTCGAGCTTCAGAGAACCCACATAACTGACGTATTTCCGCCACTTCTGGCCTACAATTCACCAAAGGAAGGAAGCTGTTGTAAAAAAAAAGAAAATAAAGAATGAAAGGGGGAAATCATGCTCTCACACTGCTGCTAGAGCCTAACATCATGTGTTTCCCAATAACACAGGGCCAGATTAACACTTTGTTGTACCCTGGGCAACAGTATTCAAGGGCTCCATCATCACGACCCAAGGATCACCATAATATGGTCACATACAGAATATATTACTGTAATATGCAGTAAATATATTCAATACTTGAATGCCTGACATTGCGTAACCCACTCAGGGTAACCTTTGACCCACCTTGTGTGGACTGACCAATGAGGAGAGGGTCTTAACTTGAGGCCCTCTCTTCATTGGTCAGTCTTACTCTCAACTGCTCTCAACTGACGTTCAAAGTCATAGGCAGCGACGCATCTCTGTGCAGCGCAAAAGCCCGGGTGGACAGTTTGTTGAATATAGGGTGATCATATTTCCATTTCCTAACAAGAGGACAGGGGATCTGTGCCTATGACGTCACACAATGGCAACGCCACACAAACCACGTTGGGACCCTTTTTTTTAAAGAACTACATTAATATCAGATTCTGCCAATAAAAGGGCTCTAAAACAATTCATATGTAAATATTTAGCATATTTATTGCAAAATCTCATTTTTCTGCTTTAGTGCTGCAACAAGATTGTATTAATAATAAATTATTATACCTTTTGTTTTACTACAACATCGGTATGCTTCCTGTGCACAGATTATTAAGGATGCTTGTTTCAGCTGTGAGATTAGACAATAGGATCAATGAAAAAATAAGTTGTCACACACTCCATGGAAACTTTCAGAGAATCCACAAATAGTGGCTTTCAAGAGGCTTCTGGGGAGCCCAGTTATGGGGGGTGGGGGGTGGGTGGGGGGTTTATTTTGCCTTGGCCCCCAAAATGTCTTGAAACGGCCCTGGGTGGGTGACTGAGTTTTGAAGGTGATCTGAATTGTATCAAATGTATAAATATTACATGTGTATAACTTATTGTTTTATGCAGGTAAAAACGTGTAGTGGAGATTAATCTACCTACATTTTACTTTGTTTTCTTGTTTTTATTTAACTATTTCCTGTCCTGTGTCTCTCATCTTCCTGCATCTCCTCTAAACTCTGCAGAAAAACTGCTGCCTGGATTCTTACTTTTTCACCTCATCAGTTACTTCTGAGCAGATCAAAGGGATCTCCTGACCACAAAGCGGAGAGCACGTTTGGATGCTGCGTCAGTGAGGTGAAATCACCGCAGCACAGGTGATGAGCTCCGCAGTAGCCGAGCGCTTCAGGCGCAAATAAGACAGAAAATAGAGAACATGTGCGGACATGAACGATCGTGTGTTAATTATAGTTTTTTGGTTGCGCCACTTTGAGAATGGACCGTGCGATGGACGCAGCTGCCTGGATCGCAGCGCAACAACGCGCTGTGCCGCTCTCTGTGCTCTCTGCTCAAAAGAGTCCATAAATGATGTAATATAGGTATTAAACTTTTTTCCTGCTCCCCTGGATGTGTAGGATATCCAGCTCCCCCATGATTCAATCCCTGCTCCTGGATGAAAAGCCAGACATTTTCATCAATACAAGAACCCCCAGTCCGGACGCCCGGACAGAGAGTGAAAAGTGGACATGTCCGAGGAAAACAGGACGTACGGTCACCATAGTCCTCATAAAGTGGGAAATTACAGATACAGTATTTTGCTCGTGCCCTTGCTGCCCTGGGCCCTTTAGAGTTCGTGGGCCCTGGGCAATTGCCCAGTTGCCCATATGGTTAATCCGGCCTTGCACGTAACCCGCTCAGGGTAACCTTTGACCCACCTCGTGTGGACTGAACGATGGTGTGTTAATTATAGTTATTTGGTTGCACCACTTTGAGAATGGACCGTGCGCTGGACGCAGCTGCCTGGAGCGCACCAACGAACAGCGCTCTGTGCTCTCTGCTCAAGAGTCCATGAATGATGTGATATAGGTAGACAACTTTTTTCCGGCTCTCCCTGGATGTGTAGGATATCCAGCTACCCCGTAATTCGATCCCTGCTCCTGGATGGAACCCCTGGATGGAATTACAGATACAGTATTGTGCTCGTGCCCTTGCTGCCCTGGGCCTGGCCCCTTTAGAGTTCGTGGACCCCTGGGCAATTGCCCAGTTACCCACATGGTTAATCCCGCCTTGCAGTAACAGGCTGTCACACACACACACACACACTCACACACACACACACACACACACACACACACACACACACACACACACACACACACACACACACACACACACACACACACAGTCAGATTCTGACAGCTGCTCCATCCTGCTGGCTCTGACCACCATCTATCCCCACCACACCACACAAAATGTGTAAAGCTGCATTTCATTGTCACATAAAGGTCAACATTTCATGAGCTCACAGTAAATTTTTGACACACAAGTTGCCACGCTTTACGCTGCATCCAACTTTCTGCAGCCCTGAGCCCGGTTTGTGTGATTCCCAGTCTGCAGGGTTTTTCAGGGAATCCTGTGCAAAGTAAAACCAGAGTATCTGGTAGATATCAGACCTATAGATGGCAAAGGACACATGCAAAGCTTTTATGTTAGTCCTGTCTCATAAGACGTTCAACTGGGTTTCTCATATCAGAATCAAAAATAGAGCATAAAGAATGCAGAAAATTTACATTTTCAACTCAGCAGAAAGTGCAGGCTCTATGCTCTGCAGGAGCGTTGTCCTTTCTGAGGAAAACACACGGTCGATCAGAGCTCTTTTATTCAGATTACAGGTCAAGGAAGTCGAGCCACCGCTGCACATATCCAGCGGGTATTTGCATGGTGTTTTGCTTAACTGTACAGCTTTCCTTTGAAGTAAATAAACCGAGCTTCATGCCCCGACTCATTGAATTTGAGCAATTTGCTGGGTTTCGTTTAATTGGAACAATGTTCATTGACTTGATGATTGGAACATTCTGCTGCTCATAGACTAAATCACAAAAAGTCACTCAATGGATTTTCTTCTATTGCCAGGAATTACAACACAGAATTTAAATACATTTGTTTTTCAAATATCAAAAAAGGGACCTGAACAGAAATCGTGCACAGCCCAAAAGCCACACAGTTCACCTGTACCAAACAGGTAGTGCATCAAAGATGGAGGATGTCTCAGAACAGGGCAAAGGCTCTGGGTGTAAACGTGGCATCTGATACAAATACATATCATAAACATAAGATCCTATGAGCAGATCCATCATTTGTTAGAGTTTTAACTCAAAAATTCCAAGTTGTTTTGGTGAAATCTTACTTTACTATATAAAAATCAAAACACGTGCTGCATAAAACAGCTAAATAGCTCCTCGGTCTGTTAATACCTGATGTAAGTGTGGTAAATGGCTCCATGCAGCTGTAATACATTTGTAGCTCAATATCTTTAAAAGTGACAGAGCTGAGGTCATTTTTGTGTTTGATGAGGTCAATTAGCAGTGGCAGCCATCCTTAATGGGGTTGAGTCAGAAGCTGATCAGCTGTAGATTCTTATCCAGGTTTCATTAAATCCCATCCAGCAGTTCAGTGGGTCTTCTGACTGACAAGTAGGGGTGATCTTAACATTCAAAGACTGGAGGGGCGGGTCATTCAAATTCATCCAGATCATGTCATTTCGCGCCATGAGATATTTTGCACGTACTCGCACAGACGTGATAAATATACATATAAATACGTGGAGTGGTCCATCAATGGAGTTTTGAAGCCAACTCTTTCTGTAGAAATCTTCAGCCTATGCAGCAGACTGACAGGACTGTGTGTTCTTTCTATAAATGCGTGGTGGTGAGTGCAGCGCTGGAGCAGCAGAATCAGATTTAGTGATGCTGAGGGTGGTGGTGTCGCACAGATACTCCAGTAACTTAATGAAAAATGTTGCTTAAGGTTGCTAAATATAATGGACAGCACTGCAAAAGCCTTCCTTGTGTCCACTGCAACAAGGGCTGGAGCAGATTGTTGCTGCAGAGAACTTATGCAACGATGGTGCAAGGAGGTAACAAGTGGGACTAAAGTAACTCAGAAAGACACAAAACTCCACGTCTGTCCACAAAAGGGACTAAACTCAGAATCTGCATTCTGGCTCTGCTCAACATTTATAATGATGAAGAGGTAGGACATGTTTTTCTGCACATACAGCGGTGTGAAAAACTCTTTGCCCCCTTCCTGATTTCTTATTCTTTTGCATGTTTGTCACACAAAATGTTTCTGATCATCAAACACATGTAACCATTAGTCAAAGATAACACAAGTAAACACAAAATGAAGTTTTGAAATGATGGTTTTTATTATTTAGGGAGAGAACAAAATCCAAACCTACATTGCCCTGTGTGAAAAAGTAATTGCCCCCCTTGTTAAAAAATAACCCAACTGTGGTGTTTCACACCTGAGTTCAATTTCTGTAGCCACCCCCAAGCCTGATTACTGCCACACCTGTTTCAATCAAGAAATCACTTAAATATGAGCTGCCTGACACAGAGAAGTAGACCAAAAGCACCTCAAAAGCTAGACATCATGTCAAGATCCAAAGAAATTCAAGAACAAATGAGAACAAAAGTAATCGAGATCTATCAGTCTGGTAAAGGTTATAAAGCCATTCCTAAAGCTTTGGGACTCCAGCGAACCACGGTGAGAGCCATTATCCACAAATGGCAACAACATGGAACAGTGGTGAACCTTCCCAGGAGTGGGCGGCCGACCAAAATAACCCCAAGAGCGCAGAGACAACTCATCCGAGACCCCAGGACAACTTCTAAAGAACTGCAGGCCTCACTCGCCTCATTTAAGGTCAGTGTTCACGACTCCACCATAAGAAAGAGACTGGGCAAAAATGGCCTGCATGGCAGATTTCCAAGACACAAATCACTGTTAAGCAAAAAGAACATTAGGGCTCGTCTCAGTTTTGCTAAGAAACATCTCAATGATTGCCAAGACATTTGGGAAAACACCTTGTGGACTGATG